TTTACCTTCCCTCCCTTATAATTGTCTTAAATATTTCCTTTACAAATATTGATAACCACATTAGACAATGTAATAATTTTTGCTTTAACCATCAAACATAATATAGAAAACAAGAAGAGAAAGAAAGCTTATTGAATTTACCCGTTTTTTAAAACTCTGTCCATTGTTCTTTCTTCCTTCCCATTGTTTCAAGATGCCTTCTTTTATCATTTCCTTCCTGTTTCAAAACTTCTACTAGCCATTCTCTTAGGGTAAGTCTGCTGGCGGTAAATTCCTTAATTTTCCTTCATCTGAGAATGTCTTAATTTTCCCTTTATTCCTGAAGGATATTTTCACTGATATGGATTTCTGCGTGGACAGTTCTTTTTTTTCCATCACTTGAAAAATGTCGTGCCACTTCCACCTGGCCCCCTGTGGCCTCCACTGACACTGGGTGGTGTGGGGGTGGGGCTGCATCCCTGCTGGGTGGCGGTGAAAGTCCTCTTTCTCCACTAGGCCTCCTCTGACCTCACCCCAGCAGGGGTAGGGAGGGCATCTTGCTTCTGCCTGATGGATGTGGAAGTCCAGGTTCTCCAGCTGGCCTCGGCTGACACTGCAGGAGGGGGGCCTCATTACAGCCGGGCCGGGATAGAAGCCCGGACTCCCCACTTGGCCTTCCCTGGCAGGAGAAGGGGTGGCCTCATTATGCCCACGAGGGTGGAAGTGTGGGCCCCCACTCAACCTTTGCTGATGGGGCTGGGCTGTAGTTTTTCTTGGAGTTTGGCTGGACTGGATTGATTATTGTCTAAAAGTTTTCTGTCTTGCTAGTCTGCCCCTTTCCTGATCTTTTGACTAGAGAGAGCAGACTTTTCTTGGGGTTTCTGTCGTCTGCATCCATTGGTTGTATTAGGTTGTCACATTCTCCAGTATCTACTTGGGATATAAAAGGGAAAAAACCTCACTGCCATGTCATTCCTTGAGTCTCCAGATCCCCAGCCAGTCTGCCTCTTCTCAACCTTTCAGAGACTTCTGATGTTTGTTTATGTAGAAAGTCCAGGGCTTTTTAGCTTTACTTAGCAGGAAGAATAGGAATAAATGCATCCACTCCATTTTGTTTGGAACCAGAAGTCAGGACTCATCGTTTTGATTGTAACATCACATTGTGCTGTATTCAAGCTATCTCTTTAACAGTTTGCTTCGTTCTCTAAACTGTGCGTTCTTAGAAGGCAAGAACTGTGTTTTATCTTTGTGTCCTTAGTGCCTAGCAGAGTAGCAATAAATTATTTTTTTAATTGAATTGTAGTATGTTATCAGGCATTTATTTCCCTGAAGGATTTTTGGAATGTGTGCAGATACAGATAAATTGCCACGAGAGGGCAGTAGTAGTGACCCCGCTCACTAGGGCCCTGAAGCTCGCGTGCCCCACCGCAGCAGAAACCTTTCCCCAGAACTGTGGTCTTTAGTTGGCCGTGAGAAGAGCAAAGTCTGGGAAGTAATTCTAGTTGGGCCTCTCGGGGAGAAAAAGGACCTTGGGTGACTGACAAGGCTGTACGTGGAGCACATGGGTCTCATTCTTTTGGGGAAGAATGCTTCCCCCTTTTCGCAGTAAAGGGAAGGGAAGTCACATATTTCCAGCACCTAGTGGGCAGTCGTGATCTGGGCACTGCTCACAGTAATGCTGCAAGGCAGGCATTACTTCCTCTTCTTTACAGATGAGGGAACTGAGGCTCAGTGGGCCTCTGACAGCTGATAAGAGGGAGCACTAAAGCTCTTGCCCTGCTCCCCTCAGGAGATGCGAGGACACCTCATTCCTTGGGCAACAGAGGCCCTGGCCAGCCTCACACCAGCAAGCCTCAGAGCCCTGAGTAGGAGCCTCATCTTTCTTTAACGGGCTGATAACCCACTCTGCTTTTAAGATCTTGTGATGGAGGTCCAGCACCAGCTACATAGCCTACAAGGCCCAGAGCAAAGTGAGAATGTGGGACCGCTTGTTAAAAAAATTAAAAATTTCAGAACAGCAGAGCATTCAGCCAAGCACGGGGCCCTTGTGAGCATGAGAGCCTGTGCGACTGTACAAGTCACATGTCCGTGAAGCCAGCCCTGTCTAGAGCAATCACAGAAATAATGAAATAATAGTAGGCTTCCTCTTTGGGGCAGCTTCTTTGCGCTACATGCTGTCACTTTAAATTTTCTTTCTTTTAGCTTTTGTGGGGTTGTTTTTTTCCCCTGTGTGTTTTTATCTTTACAATAAGAAGGTTGGACTAGACCAGCAGTTCTTAACCCTGGTTTCATATTAGAAGCAGCTGAGGGCTTTAAAAACATACCTACAGCTGGCGCCAGCGCCAAAGATTCTAAGTGAAGTGGATTGGAGCGGGGCCTGGGCATGGGAGTAACTCCCTCCTCGCTCTAAGACTCTGGTTTCTGTCTGAGGGTGATGAGGACGAAAATGTCCTTCCCCTCCTTTGAGAAAGCAGCTGGGGTATCTGGACAACTCCAGGTCCAGTTGGACGGGGAGTCTTGAGGTCCCACGTCTGGGAATTTTTACTGACGCGAAGAACATATGTCCTTGGAGGGTCAGGGTGAGGGGCAGGTCTTCCGGGGACATTGTTTCTTCTCTACAGCAGACGTTTGCCCCAGTGTCCATTCTGTCCAGAGTCTCAGTGCTTCCGTGTTACTGGTGGCCCCTGGGGGGAGCCATCCATTTGTGGCAGTATTTCTGGGCATGAAGAGGCAACAGTGGCTTCCTTGTCCCTTCTGGGACTTGCCAGCTTGCCTACCTTCCTTGATAGAGCCAGAGCAATGCACATAAAGCTGTTGTAGAGAAGCAAGCAGAAAGGAAAAGAACGTTTATCATACACTTGCTGAGTGCCTGGCATTGCACTCGAAGCATGCATATTTAATCTTCCAAAAACCCTTCTGGGTAAGTATTTTTTTAAATCTCCATTTTTACAGCTCAGAAAGATTAAGTAAGTTGCTGGATGTCACACAGCTGATTGAGCAGTCCCTCTACTTACTGTGGCTCAGAGATGTGGTGGAGGGTGGAGTGGGCTGCAGAAGTATCAGGGTAAGCCTGAGTTGTGCTTGCCTCACTTCTGCCCTGTCACCTCTTGGACGCCTGCTAACCCAAAGCCTGGGACACTACTCTGTTGTCCAACCCTACCTCCACTCTCACCCCAGGAATACCCCCTGGGCAAACCATGTCTCAGGGCCAGAACATTCCAGAGCCCTGCGGGACTGGCCCTCCCTTTTCTGAAGCCAGTGAGGCATGGCCCAGGCCTGCCCTGTCAGGACTGCACAGAGCCCAGAAACCCCTCACCTGGGGTCCCATGGAAATGGAATGGAACCATCCATTCACGGATGTGAGAACCCAAAGAGAAAAGGAGGAAGCAGCCCAGGCTTCTCCCAGAAGCCCATCAGGAGAGGGGGCTAGAGCAGGCGGGGGGCCCTGGGGCTGCTGAACAGGGCTGAGACTTAGAAGATCAAACTCCTTCTCTGAAGCCGGTTATACTGCGAAGAACCCGAGTCTGCCACGCAGGCAGGGCAGTTCTGCCCCGATGACCATCAGCCTCAGGCTCTCCCCAAGGAAGGATAGCCTCGCTTTTGAGGAAAGGTCTCAAATTCCCCTCACTGCCCTCAGAGGGGCTTGTAGAGGCTCAGAAAAGCCGTGGGGTCCTGAGTGGAAGAGTGGGAAGGAATGGAGACCCCAGATAATTGAGGGGGTAGGCAGGACTGCAGCCTCCCTAATGGAGCCATGGGCAGAGCAGAGGGAAGGCTGGAGCTAACCCAGAGGCCCCATCCCCCCAGGAATCCACCGCCCCCTTCAGGAGCGGGGACCTGCAGTCTCACAGCCCTGAGCTGGGCTAAACCAGGGAGGCATGGACCAGCTGATAGGGACCGCCAGGAAAGATTTCTCTCACATTGTGACTCCTGGGGCTGCCAAGTGGTTTGGGAGCGGAGGGCTGGGGAATCCTCTTTTAATTCATTCTTCAAAAGCATAAGATCAGAAGAAAGATGTTTTATAAGATGAAACTCTCATGTGGGATGACGAAACAGTTCTGGAGATGGATGGTGGGGATGGTTGCACGACAGTGTGAATGTACTTAATGCCACTGAACTGTCTGCTTTAAAACTGTTAAAATGGTAAATTTTATGTTGTATATATTTACACAACATAATAAACTACAATAACAAAAGAGGAAGTGAAGCTGTGGGTTAGCTTAGAAAGCATGTCAGGCGAGTCTCATCTGAGGCCGAAGAGAGGTTTCCGCATGCCCCAGGAGCGCCTGCAGGCTAAGGCTAGCAGCTTTTGGGGGAGGCACTGCCTTCCCCCCAAGACCCAAAATGGCCAGCCCGCAGGGTTAGAAATGGAATCTAAAGAGCCTGATGGATGTGTCTGTCTTCTCACTCTTTCTGGCTGTCCTGAGGTCCATGAGGTGGGGTTATCTCTCTCCTCTCCAGTAATATTTAGGGATGGATGTGAGGACTGACCCAATAAATCAGGCGCTGGCCCGGGAAGCATTTTGGATGCCCTGCTTTAGGACCGGGGGACCATTTTACAGAATCACGGCTGGTGTGAGTGTGTGGAGTTTGTCATGGATCACGTAGGGATCCAGGCTGAGACAGCCAGATGGCAACCCAGCAGAGCAGGTCCTCCTGGGCGGAGGCCCCACAGTGCCCCAAGGAGGGGTCCTTGGCGGTGTGCTGGGGGGACAAGAAGCCCCAGGAGAGAAGGGACTTACCTGCCTGGAGTGTATCTTTGCTTAAAAATTTACAAGAGTGGATCATATCGTGTTTTTTTTCCATTTCTTAAATTTTTAAAAATTATTTTATTGAGGTGATATTGGCTTATAACATTGTGTAAATTTCAGGTGTACATTATTATATATTAGTTTTTGTATAGACTGCATCGTGCTCACCACCAATAGTCTAGTTTTTATCCATCACCACACATATATGCACCTTTACCCCTTTCGACCTCCCCCCACCCTCTCATATTATATTTTTATTAAGAAGACATATAATGTCACTTTGGCAGCCCATATACTAAAACTGGAATGATACAGAAGATTAACCTGGTCCCTGCACAAAGATGATTTGCAAATTTGTGAAGTGTTCCATATTTTTTAGCAGTAAATAATTGAAAAGTGAAATTTAAAAAACAATCCAGTTTACACTAACATCAATAAACAGGAAATAGTGAAGTATAAATTTGACAAAAGATGTGCAAGACTTTCACACTGGAAACTACAAAACATTCCTGAGGGAAGTTTTTAAAAGATCTAAATACGTCGAGAGACGTACCATGTTCATGGCTTGGAAGACTCAATATTGTTAATTCTCAAATGATTTATAGATTTAACACAATCGCAATCATCGTCTCAACAGACTTTTTTGTAGAAATTGACAAGCTGTTCTCAAATTTATATGGAAATGCAAAGGACCTAGAATATCCAAAGCAATCTTGAAAAAGAAAGTAAAGGACTTATATTACCTTGCTTCAAGACTTAATACAAAACTACAGTGATTAATATAGCGTGTACCATCATAAGGATCAACAAACAGATCAAGGGACAGAAGAGAGAGCTGAGAAATAGACCCACACTTATATAGTCGTTTGATGTTTGACTGTAGTGCCAAAGCAATCCAGTGGTGAAAGAAAGTCTTTTCAATAAATGGGGCTGAAATAACTGGATATCCAGATAGAAAAAATGAGCCTCAACTCCTGCCTCACACCATACACAAAGAGTAATTCAACATCATAGATATAAACATAAAAGCTAAAACACTAAAGCTTCTAGAAGAAAACAGAATCTTTGTGGCTTGAGGGTAGGAAACGTTTCTTAGACAGGACACAGAAAGCAATAACTATAAATTTAAAAAGTGATAAACTAGACTTCATCCATATCGTAAGCTTTTTCTCATCAAAGACATTGTTAAATAAAGGAATAGGCAAGGTACAGACTTGAGGGGGGAGAATTTTGCAAAACATATCTGAAAAGAACTGATATCCAGGATATATAAAGAATTTCTACAACTCAATAATAGAGAGGCAAACAACCCAAATAAAAAATTGGCAAAAGATTTGAAACACACATGTTTCCCAAAAGTCGATATATGGATGGATAATAGGCACATGAAAAAGTCTCAATATCATTAACAACCAGGGCAGTGCAAATTAAAACCAGCATGAGATACAACTACATACAACCCAGAATGGCTAAAATTTAAGCGACTGACCTCCCGTGCCCCCAAAGACTGGTGAGGATAAGGAGCAACCAGAACCTCATACACTGTTAGTGGGAGTGTACAATGGTTGTGACCACTTTGGAAAAGTCCAGTTCTTTTACGACTAATTACACACAAACTCTACGACCCAGCAGTTCCACTTCCAGGTGTTGACCTGAGAGAAATGAAAGTACATGTCTTCAAAAAGACTTGTACAAGAATGTTTATATCAGCTTTATTCTTAGTATCTCCAAACTGGAAAAAGCCCTGATGTCCATCAATAGGAAAATGGGTAACAGTGCTGTGTTGGGAATATTCCTCCAAATAAAAAGAGAACAAACTACTGATATGTGCAACAATGTGGGTGACTCTCAAAACCATTATGTTGAGTGAAACAAGCCTTACACAAAAGAGTATATTCTGTATGATTCGATTTATATAAAGTTCTAGAACAGGCAAAACTAACCCATGGTGGCAAAAAATCAGAGCGGTGGTTTCCTCTGGGGATTGAATGGGGAGCAGCAAGAGGGAACTTTCTGGGGTGATGGTAATCTTCCATATCCTGATAGGAGTTGGGTTGCACAGGTTTATGCATTAGTCAAAATTTGGCAAATGTATACTTAAGACTCTACATTTCATTGCTTATAGATTTTACCTCAAAAAACTGTAGGCAAATAATGAATTCTAGGTAAAGATAGGCATACTGAAGTAACTATGGAGAACTGTACTGAAGTCTGCAATTTACTTTGAGATGCATAAAAAATACAGTGGATCGATGGATAGATATGATGAGGATCAAGGCTGCCCCAGGGAGAAATGCCCAAGGCGTCCTGCCCTACCTACTGGTATATATCATCCTCCTGTAAGTGAAGCGTAGGATGTCTTGACCTGATCTGACCTGATTCCGATCCAAAGTTATAGGACCACGCAAAAACCAGACCACACCTGCACTGATACCATTTTAACGACTTTTTTCATGATCTTTCCTTTGTCTTGTAAAGAAATAACTCACATACCTATGCCTTATAAATTTAGCCCTGCCCTCAACCCATTGCACCTCTTCACTGCCCATGGATCCTGTCCCCATGCTGCAGCTCTTACTGCCCATAGGTCCTGTCCCCATGCTACTCTATGCTATTCTCTGACTAAAGGAGCACTAACTGCCAGACCTTGAGAGTCCAGGAAATCTTTCTTTCAACTCCTCGGCTCGCTGAGCCCGCATCAGATAGATGGATAAATGTGTGACAAAGCAAATATATTAAAATATTAATAGTAGATCTGGGTGATGGGTATAGGGATTTTCACAGTAAAAATCATTATGTTTGAAATTTTTCATTTAAAAATCTTGAAAAAAGACATAATAGCTATGTCATGGAATGACATAAAATTTACGTGAATTTTTATGATAGAACATAAAAATTCCAGAAGTTTCTTCAATAAATTCCTTTTATTGGCCTGAAGTACCACCTCATCCCAACACTTACCATGCTGGCTTTTTCCCTTCCTTTCTCTTGGGAGACAAAAAGGCTAGCAAATTGGGCCTGAGGCTGTGGTCCTCTCTGTGATGAGAGATTCTGCTTCTTGCAGTTTCAGTTTGGCTATAAAGACTCAAGAGGGCTGCCCACTGCACTTGTCTTAAAGACGTAACCAAGTTATGGTTGACTATTTGATGTCACCAAGATCTGGAGGACAAACCCCTCAGCATTCCCCAAGTGGAGGCAGTAGGAGATGACCCAAGGCAAGAAGCCCCAGCACTGGCCTCAGCAGGTGCTGTGCGGAGGCTGTCTTTGGTTTGGAGCTGGAGGAGGCTAGCAAGGGGAAGCCTCTTGCCCCAGCCCCTAGGGGAGTGGAGGGGCTAGAGCTAGGTGGGTCTGCTGAGCCAGTGCTGGGAGCTGGGCATCAGGGCGTCAGGCCGAGGGGAGCTGCCGAGGTCACTGTGGCACCTCCCTGCCCCCTGGCCTTGTGGCTTTTACTACCAGGTTGGGTGACTGTTCAGTTAACCTGAGGGCTCCGGGACCAGCCTGAGCTACTCTTGCCAGAATTGTCAGGGGTTGGAGTGGGGAGAGGGCTGGCTGGGAAAAGGCTGTCTTCATGGGCAGGGCCAGATGAGCAAAAAGCTCTCGAAAACAAAGACTCTTTCAGCTAAGGTTGGTGGCCACGGGCAGCCCCTCCTGCCCATCCCCACCCTGTAATTAAAGTGGTAACTGTGAGTGGCGAAGATGACGGGGAAGACTGCAAGTCAGAGCTGATGAATAGATGCACAATGTCCCCACGGGCACCTATGGGTCTGGCGTCCTCACATCTGAGCATGTCTGACCTTGCGCACGTGGTCCTATGTCAGCCCAGTTCTTGTTTCCTTACCTGTTATGTCTATTCATTGAGTATCCTTGTGTATTTATCCTGATTTCTTTTTTCAAAATATATATATATATATATATATATATAAAATTAAAAAGTAATACTTGCCTATCATAGAAAATTTAGATTAAAAAGTTCAATAAATTGAAATAATCAGATAGAGATAACCTCTATTAAGCCTGTGGTGTGGTTCCTGACAATGTTTATTTCCAAATGGGTATATTCCCAATTTAAAATTTAGATTATATTATATGTGCTGCTTTGTAACTTGCCTTTTCCACTTAACAGTGTATCGTGGAGGTCTCTCCCCGTCGTGAAATACAAACAAACAAATAACCATTTCACCAACCGCTTACCATCCCCATAACATGGATGTGTACTAGGATGTTTAATCCTCTCTTGGTAGACATTTGGGTCCTTAAAATATTTTGCTGTTATAAACAGTACTGTGATTATAAACATCCTTGGACACAAATCTGCCCTTGTCCATGATTCTTTTTTTTTTTTTTTTTTTGCGTGAATTCTTAGGAGTGGAATTATCCTTTCAGATCAGGAGTAGATTGTTTTAAAGTCTTCATGGACTTTTTTTGCTAAATGTAATGGACCTCTGATGTGCTTGCCTGCTCAGAATTCTTTCCCCCTTCTTCTAATAACAGCATTTCGTTTTTCCTTTAGGGAGCCACATCCTCCCGACTCTTTGTGGCCCTTGTGGGCTGTCAATCACGATACACTTCTCCTTTATAGGGTTGAAAATGTCATTTGAGGTGGCCAGAGAACTATTACCCTGGCCACAGTGTTCAGTTCAGAGATGAGCATATGATCCAAAGAGAGTTAGAGTATTCCCTGAGACTTAACATGAAGATTCTGTGTGAGAGAGGATTTTTCTCTTCCTTTTGGATTAGAAGCCATGCAGATATAGGCTTGAGGCTGTAAGAGGTCATCTTCCCTGCCGTGTAGATAGAGTGATGAGAATAAAGTCAACACACTCAGGGAAACAGAATCAAGAAATAGAAAGTCAGAGCCCTGATGACCTTGCCCAAGCCCCTGGATCTACCTATGCCTGAAGCCATCTCTCCCTGGGTCTTCCAAGTTAGTTGAGTCAATAAATACCCTTTTTGGTTTAAGCTAGTTTTCTTTAGATTGCTGTCACTTGTAAGTGAAGGAACCCTGAGTAATACAGTACGCTGTCTTCCTGAAAAGTCATACAAATTTATACTCCCAATAACACTGGATAAGAATGCCAATTTCCAGGGCTCTGCACCTTGCCACCCACTGATTAGGGGTTTGAGGAAGCCGACTATCCCAAAATGCTGTGGATTGTGCAAGTGTGAGAGGGACACAATATAATCCTAAGGAAGCTAGACCAGGTTCGAGGGCTGACAAGGTGAACCTACATGATTAGAAAATTGTTCCCCAGGGTTCTGCTGGAAATTAGTACATTCACAGGCTATAGTGAGTGTAGTAGTTAATGGACAGCTGGTTCCTGCATAGATGTGTATTATGGTGAAAAATAAGGGTTCAACAAATAAGGGCCACAACTC